ACAGCTGGAAGAGAAGCACAGGTTACAGACCCGTTGACCACTTTCAGGCTCTTTCTCCAGGGGTGCTACTACTTCTGAAGGAAACAAATGCAGATACTTACAGACATTGACGTTGGACATGTTGTCGTTGCACAGCCTGCGAAGGGAAATTGGTAAATGTTAATTACTCAACCCAAGAGACATTGTAGAAACTGAGAACTGTATTTTCATTATACAATCATTTTCTTTTTTTGTCATTATCAGCGACTTTGGTACCACCAAAATATTTAAGGACGGAAGACATTGACAGTTTTTCTTTACAATGAAGTTCTTCCCGACTTCATTAAAAAAAATTGTACATGACAAATTAAATGGTAGTTACACCACCTGTAGTGAAGAGTGTATGCCATTTACCAGTCCTGACCAGCCAAAATGTGACCCAGAGTGCAAATAGCCTTATCTATCCATTTTAACCCAAAGAGCTGGTTCGAAATTACGCTGTTAACATCAAAACTCAAGGCGTCCTGCCCAGATCTCACCACCTCTCTCAAAGCAGAAGCCAAGTGTTTACCTGTTCTCCTCTCCCTCCAGCAGCTTCCTGTACATGGCAATCTCAACGTCCAGGGCGATCTTGACATTCAGCACCTGCTGGTACTCCTTCAGCAAGCGAGCCAGCTCCTCCTTGTCTTTCTGCAGGGCACTTTCCAGCTCTTCCAGTTTCAACCTGGCGTCCTTGAGGGCCATCTCACCCCGCTCCTCAGCCTCAGCAATAGCTGACTGCAGCTGCTGGTTCTGAGGAAGGAAATAGGCCATTTTCTCAGATCTCCTTTTTCACTCAGGATCAGCCCTCAAACCCCAAGTGGAGAAGTCAAGGAAGGGGAAAAATGAAACATCTCCATGAAGTAAACAAGGGGTGGTTGAAGAAACCGTGGTCATTTGTGATCCAACCTGGTGCCAACATCCCATGAGATGCTAGCCAACGCTTACCTGTTTCTTCACGTTCTCAATCTCAGCTCGCAGCCTCTGGATGTTCCTGGTCAGCTCTTGGATCTCCATCTTGGTGTTGCGGAGGTCATCCCCGTGCCTTCCAGCAGTGCTCTGCAGCTGCTCGTACTGATGACACCAAGACAAAGCAAGCCTTCAGTGAAACCTTTCTGATGCCTAGACAAGATCTGTCAACAGTTTCATAGCTCACATTCTGCTATAAGAACTATCACGTTAGTCATGGATGCCCAACTCAACGCCAAAGATGGTTCTGAGACTCAGTTTTTGGGTTTGAACTTTGAAGTAGATCTTAGTGACACTAATAAGCATCCTCTGGCTTCTAGAAAGTTACTTTGGGCAGGCATTTTCTAGCTAAGGTACATTTTTGGCCATCTTTATTGATGGCTTTCACCATGCACCAAAGTGAGATCCTAGACAGCTTGGAGACAGTGAGTCAGATCCCTCAAAAGCAACACCATCATTATCTGCAAACACGAGCCATCACCCAGGGTTCCTTTAATTGCTTCCCAACTCACCTGGCTCTGGTACCAAGCCTCAGCCTCAGCCCGGCTGTTCTGTGCGATCTGCTCATACTGGCACCTGACCTCCTCGATGATGCTGTCCAGATCCAGGTGACGGTTGTTGTCCATGGACACCACCACGGACAGGTCCCGGCTGATGGTCTGCATCTGAGCCAGTTCCTACAACCAAAACATGGGTTACCATCATCAGTTCCTATGACCAAGACATGGGTTACCCTCACCATCTGAGGAGGGGAGGAAGGAGCAGCCTCTTCAGTCCAAATCCACATGGGCACCCACTCCAACCTCAGCGCCTTTGGCCACCATACACTTCATTGCAACTCCAACCAGACCATGGGAAGGGAGAGCTCTTACCTCCTCGTACATGCACCGCAGGAAGTTGATTTGGTCAGTCAGAGCTCCCACCTTGGCTTCCAGCTCTACTTTAGTCATGTAGGCACTGTCCACATCCTACAGGAAAGATCACAGAGAATAATTTCATTTCCTCTCGGAAGTCCTTCAGGGTCATGAAAATTACAGTCTCTTGTGGGTAACAGCTATGACAGCATTATTCAATTATGCAAATCAAAAACAAAGGACTTCAAATATCAGCCCACAGATCCTCCCATCTCTACAAATTCCCATTCAAGGAGTCTCTCTAAGCACAGATAAAGCCTGGGATTCGAGTGATCCCTTTCTAGTGAGCATGATTCACCTTCTTGAGCACCACAAACTCGTTCTCAGCACTTGTGCGCCTGTTGATCTCTTCCTCATACCTATGGAGAGTGAAAACACAAGCTGAGTTTCCTGAATTTTCCTGCCCGAGGGCACACTAAATATAATTTAAAAAGCAGAATAAAATATTTAGACTGAGAAAAACATGTCTACAACTGCCACAAAAAAAACATGTGTGTGAAGAAAAATGACTACCAAGCGGTTTGAGGTGGTTTCTGGATTAGATTCACTGCACTTACTTGGTTTTGTAATCCTCCACATATTGCTGCATGTTCTGCAGCTCTGACTCCAGCTGTCCCCGCTGAGACAAGACCGCGTCCAGCTGCCTCTTCAGCGCCTGGATGTAATTCTCAAAGAGGACGTCGAGGTTCTTCTTCGGCCCCGTAGGCCCTTGCTGCTGGAGGAGCTCCCACTTGGTGGAGAGGACCTTGTTCTGTTGCTCTAAGAAGCGGACCTGAAAGCCAACACATGGAGTATCCACCATCAACAACAGCCCAGGCACCTTTTTCATCACATAAAAACTTTCTCCTTGATTATGAGACAACTAGTTAATTTTTTTTTCAATTTTTTTCTATTGTTTTCTAAACTACAAGATCAGAAAAGGGAGGGTATTTCTAAGTCATATCCAAGTCAAAGGAGCTTTTTAAATATAGCACCGGCTCCAAGTACATCCCCACCGCAGGTAGCGTAGAAATCTTAGATTTCTAGTCTATACTTAAAAGCCTACATATTTGAAAACAAAGAGAAAAAAATGCACATATTAGTGAATAATTAAATGGAAGGGTATTTGGAAAGAGAATGGTACAGGAGGGAAAACTGGTGCCTGAAACCTGCGGATGTTTGGAGGTGTGGAGCCTGCTTGCAAGAATAAGTTATAATTTGAGCCTGGTGCAACAGGCTGGATTAAAGCCCTGGAGCCATAGCTTTGATCTCGAAGAGAAGAGAGATTCTCATCTCTTCACTAGCAGTACTTAATAAAAAGGCTCTGCTCAACTTCTCAGCCTGCTGCTCCAACAGGAAAACTTGAAAGTTCCTCCCAATTTTGAACCTTAATGAGACACAATCTCACCTTGTCAATGAAGGAGGCAAACTGATTGTTAAGAGTCTTGATCTGCTCCTTCTCCTGGTTTTTGACTTGCTGGATATGGGGATCGATCTCGACATGGACCGGGTGCAGGAGGGTTGAGTCAACCTGCACTGGTTGGATGCCGGGGCCACCTCTACCAGGGCCACCAAAGCCTGCCATGCCAAAGCCAGGGCCACCAAAGCCGCCCATTCCTCCACCGCCCATTCCTCCACCACCCATTCCTCCACCGCCCATTCCTCCACCATAACCACCCATTCCTCCACCATAACCACCCATTCCACCACCACCCATTCCTCCGAAGCCACACATTCCTCCTCCACCCATTCCTCCACCAAAGCTGCCCAGTCCTCCTCCGTAGCCTCCACCAAAGCCGCCCATCCTGCCTCCGTATCCTCCACCTCCATAACATCCCATGGAAATCCTGCCACTGCCACCCATGTTATGGAGACTCTTGCTGCTAAACCCTCCGCAGCGTCCGCCACCTCCAAATCCCCTGGACATGGAGAACGAGCTGTAGCTGTTCCTGCTCCTGCCTCCTCCAAAGCCACCACCGATGGCAGAGCAGGAGCTGTAGCCCCTTCTACTCCCGCCTCCAAAGCTCCTGCAGACAGACTGCCGAGACATGGCCGTTCCTTCCAAGCGGAGTCAAAAACCGAGAAGATAAGGGAGGTCAAGGGAGTTGTGCGGCGAGGAGATGAGTGCAGAGAGAAGGGAAGGAAGTCCCTCTGACTGGAGGGCAGCCGATGCCCTCTTTTATCTGTTCCTGGCGGTGGGCTGGGTTTGCATGGGCGTGAAGGAGGAGACAGGTACTGTCTTCATCAGCGTGGCGTGGTTTACAGATTTTCATCTTCAATTTGCCAAACATTGACCCTACCCAGCAACACACCCTGCAATGCAGGAGAAAATTAATAAAGATACAACTGTGTCTCGCAGATGGCAGCACTCGGTGACTAAGAAGTCTTACGCTTTTGTGGTACAGTAACAGTCTCCCTAGGATATACAAGTCCCTTTTTTCTACACCTTTGCGGTTGTTGCCCTGCTTATGTTTATCTTTATTTTGATCTTTCACTCCAAAGCCCCATGGCAGGCAAGCACTGTGGCTCATGCCAAGTTGTAGCACGGCTTTCACAATTCCCAAAACACACCTATGTTACACCCTTAGTCTCTTCTTTACATGGAAAATTGCCGTTGGCTTTGAGAAGTAGTTTCTCAACCTAGAGCCAGGGCTCAGCAAATTGCATTTTGATGAGGCTCTGTGTCTTTTCGATAAATAAAACCTTACCAGAAATGAGATACCAGAGCAATGGTTGGCACTGGAAATTCATTTATTGTTGGACCAAACTCTCACTGAAAGGAAGCCCTGGAGTCTTTGTGCCAAGAATTGAAGCTCCAGTGGAGAAACACCACAAAAATCACAGATGGGAAACCCCTGGAGAAGTTTCTGAAGGCTTCAAGACCATGGGAAGAGCTGGAGAAGACCAAAGGAACCCAACTGCTCTGGTGGGAAGTGTGGACGGACGGACAGCTCTGAGAATAGACAGGGAGAAGGAGGCATGCAAAACCATCCTGCCCACATCACAAATCCTGTGGCTATTTAAATGCAATTAGCAAGGCAGAGGATGCTGGAGAGCTCAGAGAAATGAGGAGGAGAGAGGGCACAGTGACTTTCACTGGAGGAAATGCGTGTTTTTCAGCTGCCTTCCTTCAGTATTTATATGCAAATATAATTCTGGCAGACAAACACGTTCCTGTTGAGCCCTCCTTCAAGAACAGGGGTAGGGATCCTTTTCTAAGCTTTTTTGAAAGAAATAATCTGATTTTAGCAAGGCAGAAGCTTATCAGAGCACTCGGGTTTTGATGCCATCCATGCGGAGAAAGGACAATGAGTTAATCCTGCAATGATGAGGCTATGAGCCATCGCGCATTCATCCTTTTGTCTTGCAGGCGCCTGCTTATCAAAGCACAATTAATGTCTCATTTTAAAACTTTTTATTGAGAAATTCCTTGTCTTACTCATTTTCAACTCTTTAAAGCCACCGAAGGAGTTTTAAAGCCCAAGAACCCTTGTGACCGTTGAGGCACCTGAGCCGGTGGCTGCCTGGCGAGGCTCTCAGGAGTTCCCATGGGACACGGGCGATCAAGTGTGTCTTGAAAATCCACACCAGCAACTCCTGGTAACTTCAGATGTTTAAATACCTCTAAAAATATCGCCCAGACACCCATTTCCAAAAGCGCTCGCGGACATGGACCAGGACATAAGGTGCAGCTAAACTGGCATTTCCACTGGAAAACATGACCGTCCCTGCCCTGCCTGCCCGTCCCACCACCCATGAGCACCCTGGGAAGTGGATCAGGGCATAGATAGGGCTAAAAAATATATATAATAATAACAAGGCACCGTGAGGCCAAAGGGATGGGGAGGACGGGGAGGTTGGTGGTTGTACAGCATGGTTTATAGACAATAAATTTGTGGGCTGAGGAGGTCCTGCATGGCTCCTTGGTCTGAAAACCAAGAGTCTTTGTCACCTAAATGCCATGGTTGGGACCTGGGCTGTGAACACAGTTCTGATTCATCTGCCAAACCCATTGCGCCACCACCTGCGGTACCGCGAGGTTTAGTGCTGCTATAGATATTTTTACAAATAAGAATACGTTTTCATTAAAAATACAATGTTTTGGATTGGAAGGGACTTTTGGAGACCATCTCATCCAACCCTCTAATCACGTCTATGTGCCTTCACGAATACACACATTGGCCGGTATCTTCTCTTGCTTCCCTTGGCGTTACCAAATACGCTGTTATACTTTTCTGGGTTGTGTTGTGGGTTTTTTTACTATTTTCTTTTATATTATTATTTTGTCTGTGGGCGGGACGAGGGGATCAGAAAGTTTTCGGGTTCCCAGCCACCCTGGGAGGAGATGCATGAAGTCAGCACAACACGCACGGCTCCGAGCGCCCGTGTGGAGATAACGCGCTCGTTGAGTCACGGCTGCATCTCCAGCCAAGTTTGGGAAATCAGCCCGGGATTTGGATATCAACACCATCACGAACGCAACAGCAGCTTTCAACCGTGGCGATCTCAAACAACAGCGCTGCACCCAAAGCCCTAACGAAGGAAAACGACCTTTAAAGGTCTCTTCCAACCTGAATTATTTTGTGATTCTATGGAAATAAACATGTGGGGATACAGGAAAAGCTGCTCAAGCCTTGAATAATTATGGGAAAAGGCTGATTTCAGCAGCAACGCTCTCCGTTGGCGTGCACTGAATTTAGGAGAAATCTTCAACCACAGAAAGGGAGAAGTTTGGGGTGAAAAAGCAAAGCAAAGCATTTAATTCCCACGCTTCCCATGAAACACTTGACTTGTAAGCATTTTCACTGTGCTTTAGAAGAGCCTTTTAAAACGGGGGCGAATCATGACGAAACTAAAGTCAACTTATTTCAGGCCAGGCCAAATATTTTCGCTTCTCCAACAAAAGGCAGAAATTCTGTCACATCTCGGTCCAGCCCAAATTTTCCCCTAATTGCCGGTGCAGTCATAGGAACAGAAAGGGAAGGGCTTTTTTTGGTGTTTGTTTATTTTAGCTGCAGCATTTGCAGAGATGGAGAAGCCTTTTTGTCTCTTCACTGTTTACTGGAAGCGAGTTTACACAGAAGCAAATGAATTGGGGTGACTCGGGGGGAAGTGGCTGCCTTTTCATTCAACGCCATCCCAAGTCCCTCCGCTGGAATATTCAACCATTGCCCAAACCTTCTCCCCATCCAAGTCGCTACTTGCCTTTGCTGGCAGCGTTGGGTCATCCTGCAGCCGCCGGTGCGTTTTGTGTCTCCAACATTTACAAACAGGGAACAGAGCATGGGATAAATGAGGTGACTCATTTGCACGGCAGAGCGAGTCTGCGGTTGACCAGAGATGTGATTCAAGGTCTCCTGAGCCAGAGGTCAAACCACAATGGGAGTTTTTGGCTCTAAATTTACAGATCATCAGAAATATTTGACTTTTGTGGAGAGGTAGGGCTTGACAGGACATTGAGGTCTTGCCCTTCCCATGGTCTCTGTTTCCTCTTGGAGATGCTTTAAAGGATCAGTCCAAACAATCCAGACAACAGCAAAAGCTGCAGGACTGGCTCCAGCATCGTGGATACTGGGATCTGTATTGAAGGTGCTGGAATTGATGCTCAGAATTAGCTCTGAATTAGCTCTGAATATCAGAATTATTTTACTTTTGTGGAGAAGTAGGGTTTGATAGGATCTTGAGGTCTTGCCCTTCCCATGGTCTCTCATCCCTCTTGGAGATGCTTTAAAGGATCCACAGGTCCTCAACCAGTCCAGACAACAGCAAAAGCTGCAGGACTGGCTCCAGCACCACGGATACTGGAATCTGTATTGAAGGTGCTGGAATTAGTGCTCAGAATTAGCTTTGAATATCAAAAGTACTCGAATTTTGTGCAGAGGTAGGGTTAGACAGGACATTGAGTTCTTACCCTTCCCATGGTCTCTGTTCCCCCTTGGAGATGCTTTAAAGGATCCACGGATCCTCAACCAGTCCAGACAACAGCAAAAGCTGCAGGGCTGGCTCCAGCACCACCGATACTGGGATCCATATTGAAGGTGCTGGAATTGATGCTCAGAATTAGCTCTGAATTAGCTGGAGGGGTCATGATCACCCTTCCCTCTCCCACACCATCCCCTATGGGATGCTCCAAAAGCGCTTGTGGCTGTGCAATGTCTTGGCCATGACATCCCCCACTGTGGGGCCACCTTTGAGGATCGGGCAGCACGGGTGAAGGCCAGGGGTGCTTGGAGGCAGTGTTTGGGGTGAGCTGGGTAGGGAATGTCCCAAATTGGCCAAAGTGAGCAAGGAAAAGGCTTAGGAACAGAAAGGGGAAAGGAACGGTCTCCCAACATCAACCGAGTCCCAAAGTCTGCTCTGATGGGGATAACCACATCTGTCACTGCAGGAAGGATGGAGAAGATCATTGAGCTTCAACCCAACCTCCACCTTCTCCCCTACTTCTCTGCTGGGAATGGGCTCATTCCCGTGGGTGTCCTTTAGGAAAATCCCTGTGTTTCAGCCGGATCAGACCCCACACCCAACCCAGCCCAGCAATTTTGCCACCCCTGCAAGACCTCCTTCACCCTCCTGCCCTGCTTAGGGGGGTGAGAAGGACGGGAGGCTGCACCTTCGCTTTGGTGCCTTTAAATGCCAACTTCAAAGGGCAAGCGAAAGTCAGGCAACACTTTCAGATCTCAGCAAAAGCGGAGTCTTGTCGCAACACGAAACTCTTTGGTCAGAGAGAAAACCACACCAGGTTACTGCCTGTAGTGTTTATTAGGGTACGCCACATGCCAAGGGATAAAGGCTTAAGCAAACAAATGCAATTGTTCCCATGATGGCAACGAGAAGGTGAGCCCTGAGCAAAACGAAACATTTTACAGCAGTTTCTGGAGAATGCGGGTGAAACTGCCGGTGTCTTGCTTAGGAAAATGAAAAAAAAAAAAAAAACAAACTGCAGCAGGGTAAGAAATGTCTTCATCGGGGACGAGTCACCATCAGGAAATTCTTGTTTCGGAGATCGAGCCCGGGCTGATGAGTAGCAGCGATTAAAATTGCACCATGGCTGGATCCGGCACAAGGTCTTGGCAGGAGCCGAGCTTCCCCGCAGGACACGAGGGTCCCGAGCAGGACACGGAGCCATCCCCTCCAAGGGCAATGCTCGTGTGGACCACACTGCTCTGTCCCAGCAGTGTTTGGGGATGTCCAGCGTGTGTGGGACAGGTCCTGGTGTCAAACTCTGTGAGAATCTCAGCCGTAGAGTCGTGTTTTTCACTTTTCTGTGCAGTTTCTGACAGAGGTTTAAAGTTAAACGGATGGCAAGGAAGGGGAGGAGACGGTGGCCATCATGGGAGCTGCTTCTTTCTCCTTTGGGTGGCAGGGAGGGGTGAGGTACCCGACTTTCCTAAGCCCTCAGGGTGGCAACGGAGCTGCTGTTCTTCTTCAGGATGGAGCCAGACCCAACCACCACTGAGCTGGTGCCCCCACCGACAGAGCTGAATCCGCCTCCGATGCCGCCAAATCCGCCCCCTCCCAGGCTGTAGCAGAAGCCAGCGGGGTTGCAGCTGCCCTTGCCAGCACCAAATCCCATTCCTCCTCCTCCTCCAAGGCAAAGGCCGCCGCCGTATCCACCTCCCACGACGTTGCTGCCTCCTCCCACCACGGCTGCGGAGGAGAAGAGAAGGCACGAGGTTATCTTTGATGGCACCGTGAAATTTCGGAGCATCAACCCTAGTCCTTTGGGAGAGGGGAATGTTACTTACAGATGCTGACAGTGCTCTGGCACTCTCCAGACATCCTGAAAGAAAAGGAGATGGAGCATTAGCCCCCGGTAGAGCATCTGGACTGGTCTAGCTCCCTCCATAGCTCTCTGAGAGGAAGGGGTAGAGAGGAGGGGAGGCCGGTCTCTTCTCCCCAAAAACAAGCAGTAGAATGAGAGGAAATGGCCCCAGGTTGTGCCAGGTGAGGGTTAGATTGGATTTTGGGAGGAATTTCTTCATGGAAAGGGTTCTCAGGGGCTGCCCAGGGCAGTGGGGAGTACCCATCCCTGGAGGGGGGTCACAAAACATGTGGATGTGGCACTTGGGGCCATGGTTTAGTGGCCATGGGTTGGTGATTCGACTCAATGATCTTGGAGGTCTCGTCCAACCTTAATGACTCTGATTCTAAGCCGGGCTTGGACCAAGGGATCAGAGATCAAGGCATCAGACCAGGGACATCAATAACAGCAGCCACGGGACCGCAGCCCACAAGTAACAGCAACACCACTGATATTTTACTGTTTCATGTGATGTGCTGCATCCTTCCCACTGATTTCGCAGGGTGCACCCAAGCTTCCCGCTGTCTCCTCACCCACCTGCACTCCTCTCCCTCCAGCAGCTTCCTGTAGGTCGCGATCTCAACGTCCAGCGCCAGTTTGACATTCATCAGCTCCTGGTACTCGCGGAGCTGCCGGGCCATGTCCTGCTTCGCCTTCTGCAGGGCGGTCTCCAGCTCGTTCAGTTTGGTCCTGGCATCCTTCAGCGCCACCTCCCCGCGCTCCTCCGCATCCTTGATGGAGTTCTGCAGCGTCTCGCACTGGAGAATGGGACATGGAGGAGGTGAAGCCATGATCCCACATCACTTGGGCTCATCTATCCCCAAAACACCAGGTTCCCTCCCACTTACAGTGACTGTTACCACAATATTTGCTTTTCGGGAAGCTCCGAAGGGCACAACCAAGAGCCTACACCCATTAAACAATGAAAGCCATTAAAACAACGCAACCCCTTACCTGTTTCTTCATGCTCTCGATCTCAGCCCGTATCCTCTGGATGGTGCGGTTGAGCTCAGAGATCTCGGTCTTTGTGTCCCTAAGGCTGTCCCCATGTTTGCCTGCAGTAACCTGCAGCTCTTCATACTGGTAGGGAGAAGCAAGAGGAGCACGTTAGGTCCAAAGTGTACACACATACGCCAGCTCCAGACTGGTTTGATCAGTACCAGCAATGTCTCAGCATAATCCGAGCTACCACCAGCATCTCCTCCACCATCCATGGTCACGATTGAGATGTGGAGAGCTCACCTTGCTCTGGTACCAGGACTCAGCCTCCTGTCGGCTCCTGTTGGCGATCTCCTCATATTGGGCTTTGACCTCCGCGATGATGCTGTCCAGGTCCAGCTTTCGGTTGTTGTCCATGGAGAGGACCACCGAGGTGTCGGATACTGTCTTCTGCATCTGAGCCAGCTCCTGCAATTCACCCCAGACCCGGCTTCAGCCCTGCCATGGCTTCCTTATGGCACCACAGCCCTTCTGCCCCCCAGCATCCCCCTCCACGAGGACCACTCACTGTCTCGTACAGATACCGGAAGAAGTTGATCTCATCCACCAGAGAATCGACTTTAGCCTGGAGGTCCACCTTGTTCATGTAGACTCCATCCACATCCTGCAGGAGAAATGGGACGTGAAAACCTTTGGACACACACCATTTCATCTAACATTTAACTGAGAGCCTTATGGTGCTCCACTTCCCCCTGACACCCACATTTGCAAATCCCATTTTATAACTGATGCTAATAAATCAGTGCTGATGGACGCAAGGCATCCTCTGCACCAAGATACGCCATCGCGTTATAAAAATTAAACCAAAAAAAAAAAGCACTTTACCTTCTTTAGGAGCACAAAATCGTTCTCCGCTGTGGTCCTCTTGTTTATTTCCTCTTCGTACCTGTTGATTATAACGAGCTAGATTGGATCTGCCGGCTCGGTTTGGCTCCGGCTGCTGCTGGCAACCGGGCGCTGTTGGCCTCAGACTGATGAAGGCAGCGGAAATAGAGCTGCCATGGGTGAGATTTATGGATGGGCGATGGCGTTTTGCCCTAGAGACAAGTCCTGGCGCCTGCCATCTCCAGGCTTTGATGAATAAAGCCTACAAAGACGAATCCTATCCCTGCCTAAGCTGAGTCCTGGGGGCTACGGCCACTCCAGTTCCTTCCACAAGACCCAAGGACCTTCATGTCCTCAATGTGGGCCACTTCCAGTGGCTCCTTGGAGCCAGGAATTGCTGCTGAGCATTGAGATGATCCCCAAAACAAAGCCAATTTTCAGCCTCAGTGGAGCAAGTGCTGTGGTTGACCCTGATGAGCCCCACATCTCCTTTCCCATCATTTTTTGGTAAATCCTTCAGTGGATTCATTTCTCCAGGCTTTCTCCTTGTTTTTCCAACCAGACAAATTAATTTTATAAATAATAGCAGGGAAAAAAAGTCCTTTCATTTATTCTTTCTCCTCACATCATCTTTCCAAAGAATGCTCTAAGCCTCAAACGATGAAGGATATTACAGGAAGGAAACCATGAGGAAATCCATGAGGAAATGACTGCAGGATTTAGCAAACGATCTAATTACTTCATTAAGTCATAAAGCCATGGACTCTTAAGTGATGAAGACAACCAGCAGAGGATCCTGCTTTAGTGAGGAGCGTCACTCAGGCAGCAACACACATTGAGAAACACCTTGAAAAAATCACCTCCCCTTGTCAAAACTCAGCTGATGAAGACTTCCCCCAAACCATTTACATTTTCTAATCCTTGAAACAAGTGAAATATCGCCCATTTCTTACAATTCCTTGCATTTTCTCACTGTTTAAAGCGAGTTTTCATCTCTAATTCCCCACCACCAGACAACCCAACCGTGAGCACCCCTAGGAGGACCTACTTGTTCTTGAAGTCCTCCACCATGTCCTGGCAGCTCTTCAGCTCTGAGTCCAGCTGCAGCTTCTCGCTGGAGATGCAGTCCAGCTGCTTCCTCAGCCCCCCGATGTAGGTCTCAAAAAGGGGGTCCAGGCTCCTGCCCCCTGGCCCAACGCCCCCCTGCTCCTGCAGGAGTTTCCACTTGGTCTCCAGGACGCGGTTCTGCTGCTCCAGGAACCGGACCTACCCCATTGCAAGGATGGGAAGGAGAAGAGTCAGGTTATGCTTAAAAGCATCGGGTTTATGGTTTTTTTCACATTTTTTCCATATTTTTTCCCCATTTAATGAGTTTAACCATCCTGCCTGTTCCCATCTCCAATGAGCAACAGCTCCAATGTCTCATTGGACTGGTGGGACCTGGGATGAATGGGCAAAGGTGGGTCACCTCCCCTCTCCAAACTTTAAACAGGAGAATTGCAGTGAAGTTCGTTGTTTTGGCATCTTCTCCTTAAAAATAGCCCAAAACACCCAAAGCCCTTCAGCCTAACGGGCAGAGGCTCCTCTGAGGATTCTCTGCATGGAGATCCCAGCACCGTGGTCTTAAGAAACAAGGATTCAACTCCTGGGTTTCTCCATGCCCTTGGGATCGTCACTTCTCCAGCCACCACCTCCATCTGCAGGGGCTCTTTGGGGTGGTCTGGGCAATTCCAGGCCCATTTGGGTGGGCACCTCATGGCATTTCCAATCATGATGGGCTCAAACCTCCACCTCCCAGCCCCGGATCCAAGCTGCCCTCACCTTGTCGATGAAGGAGGCGAATTTGTTGTTGAGCTGCTTCATCTCCTCCCGCTCTTGCGTCCGCACCTTCTGGATCTCGGGGTCGATCTCGAGGTTGAGCGGGGCCAGGAGGCTCTGGTTGATGGTCACTTCCCTGATGCCGCCTGGCGGGCAAGGGGGGAAGCCTTGGCCTCCCATTCCCATGTCAAATCCTCCACCAAAGCCACCAAAGCCACCACCGAGGCCTCCACCAAAGCCACCGCCAACACCACAGCCATAGCCGCCACCAAATCCAAAGCCTCCTTGGCCACCAGCACCAAAACCTCTGCAGACAGCGCCGGCTCCACCAAATCCTCCCAGGGAGGTGCTTTTACTCCCTCCCAAGCAGTAGAGGCTGCGGCTGCTGAAGCCACCAGCGTTGCCGGATCCCCTGCATCCTCCCCGGGACACGGAGCTGAACATGACCCTGTTCTTCCCTCCGAAGCAAGCGGAGCTGGAGCTGAACCCCTTGCTGAAACCACAGGACTGGCGAGACATGGCGATGGGTGGCCAAAGATGAGGAGAGCAGAGCAAAACGGTGCACGAGAGGAGGTGAGTTCTGTGGGTGCTGTGTCCAGGTGCCCCTTTTTATGCGCTGAGGGAGTTGGCAGGGTGTCAGGGGAGTGGAGATGTCTTTTCTTTTCCATTCTATTCATTGTTTTTTGGGGCTTGGAAGGCTGCCCTCCAGTCTTTGCCACCACCATGACCTGCCCCAAAACACTCCCTCGAGAGCTAAGGAAAACAAAGCTGTTGTTGGTGTTGGCCGCGCAACTCCCAGTCAAAGCCCTGTCAACCCATCACAAGGCCTTCTTGAGCCTCTCAGGGCGATGACAAAGCACCACAAATTCCTTGATGAATTATGCCCTCGAGGGAGACCCTTGTTTTAGCTAAATCACTCATTTCGAGCTCGATGGCAGGCCCTCGGTTCGCTGAATCGCAACAAAAACGCCGTTTCCCAGTCACACCCTCAGATGCACTCGGGTTCAACCTCTCACTCAGGGGAGGTTTGACTTGGGTTGTCCAAGGCTGTTACACAACCGGAGAGCATTAGTGCTTGGCAGGGTTATAAAATCAGGGTTTATGTCAACAAAGAAGACTTAGGAGCACTCTAAAGAAGGTTTTAAAGTCATTTTAGATCCCTCCGATGGGTGCGTTGAGCCTGGAGGGACACGGAGGGGTTTGCAGAGGTCAAAATATCTCAATATTTCCACTTTGCTGCACCTCAACGGGGCCGAGGTGCCATTGCCAAACTGGGGAGCTCTGCCCCACGTCCCCATCCCTCCCAGGATGGGACTTTTCGGGAACATCCTCATGGGGTCTTCAGTCCTGAGCCCCCTCCCCAGTGCGTGGCGCTTGGCAAAGCCACTCCGATTAGTGAGTGTACATTGCTTCAAATAATATATTACTTAATTGCTTAACTGCTTTTGATTTCTGTTTTAATGAGCAGAGGTGTCTGCAGATGCCTTCCAACCCAGGATCCCCATTTATCCCATCGTTAACAAAAAAATAATAAAAAGCCCTAAAACTTCCCCCCCTAAACCACAAACTGAAGCCGTGACAATAAAAGCCAGCCCTGTAATTATCCCTTTTATTGGAGACGCTCTTGGAGGAGGTTTGGGGAAGCAGTTTCAGCCTCGAACCTGTTCACCCCTGGCTTTTTTTTTTTTCTTTCCCTGCAAATATGCAAATCTGGGAGGGCTTTTCCTCCCGAGCCTCATCGGGATTCGCTGAACTGCAGGATTTTCAGCCCGAGGGGATTTGCATTGCAATGAACAGGGAAATTCGCGCTCTCTTTGCATCCCCATCCCACTCAAAACCCTCTCCCACCCAAAACCTTCCACCCGGGGCTCTGTGCTCCCCAATTTCCCCTCTCGCAGTGGGGACGAGGGGGGAAGCGGCTTGAACTCAGCTCCAGGGGGGGAAAAGGAGGCGGCGGCCGCATCTCCCCGACTTTACGCAACCGTCCCGATCTGCCGAAAAAAAACCGAATGAACCTGTTGGAGCTGCCGGGAGTTCCCAGGGTGGCTCCGCCGCCGGCTCCCTGCCGGCCCCGGCGCTTGCCCAGGGAGGCGGCTGCGGGGCCAGCGAAGCGCCCTGAGGCGCCCACGGAGCCCCGCGGTGGGAAAACCTCGCCGGGACACCAGGTCTACCTCCCCGACCGCATCCCGAGGGGCTCAGGTGGTTAACGTCGGCCGATGTTATCCCAGCATCTTGGGATGAGCATCCCTTGCTCCCAAAGGGTTGGGGAGCAGAGGCAGAGCCCATGGGACAACCCAGTCCCAGTCTCCCCCAATTTGGAGGTCAAATCCTCACAGCAAGAGGCGTAACTCAAAGCTGACGTGGTGCAGCAGAATGAGACATTCCCAAAGGCAGGAGACACAAAACCTCATTGTAACGAGCAGCTTCTGGCTCGGAAATCCACATAAAACCCCCACATCAGGTCACTGCCCCATCACAAGGGACCTGGTCACCCCACGGAGTGGATCCAGGGGCTCGGCAGCCCCACAGCGATGCCCACACACACATCCCCCTCCCAGGGGGCAATGGATGAACCCCCACACTCACCCATACACCCAAGAGCTCTCCTAGGCTGGCAAATGAGACAGAAAATGGGCTTTTCCCATGGAAAGGTGTAAATAACCAAAATCTTTACATCCTGACCCTGGCCCAGAGGTGAAACCTCACCCCGGGAGGTTTTGCAGCTCCGTTAATGTGTAGGGTTGTGTTTCTTTAATGAGATTCCCAGGCTTTTTTGGGGCTCAGCACGGCCACAGGGGGAAGAATTGGGCAACCACAGAGCACATCCCACACATCTGCCACAGGATCCCACACCGTGGGGTGGCTGCTATGGGGCAGGGACCCCCCGGGCTCGGTCCCTGCTGCTGTGGGTCATTCCTCTGTGGGTTGTGTCCAGCACTGGGCTCCCCAGTTCAAGGACAGGGAATGACTGGA